GCCCGCCTCCCCTCTGTGCGGCACGCACGGCCTGGGCCGCCCGCACGTCCCTGTCCTGGGTCCCGCAGCTCCCCCTGTCGGTGGTAGTTACAAAATGCAGGGAACCCTGGGACGGCCCAGTGGAGACGTTTTTCTGCCGCCGTGTTTCCTCTTTTGTGCCCCAGAGTTCCATACTGTTTTCACACGTGTTTCGGATACGCGCGAGCACACTGAAGGGAGGGCTTCAGCCGCCGTCGGGCAACCGAGAAGGTTTTGGCTGCAGTATTTTGTGCTCAAATGTTAGACTGTAAAAATAAAGTATTGGATAAAAAAAAACTCAAAAGAGATTTGGTCAAAATGCTAAAAACTGTACAAAGGAGAAATGAGAGCACTTCTCCAAGAAAGTAAATGTAGAAGGATTGTGGAGGAAGGCATGGGATAAGGAGGAGAAAGGAAAGAAGTGGGAGTGAATGCGTAGTCGTTCTAAGTAGGCGAGAGCTGATAACCTCTAATTAGCCTGCAGGAGAGGATGCTTCTTGGCCATGGCCCATGGTATTACACTAGATAGGGTAGTGGGGGGTGGGGGGGTGGCGTGTGCTATCTTTAGATCCAGTCGCAAGATCAGACCTGAGGATAGAAGACCTAAAATAGGCAATGCCTTAATTCTTAAGCGCTGAGTAGTAAAGATACTCACATAGCATTTGTACCACCTTCCATTCAGTCCCTACAATAACGCTGTGAATCCGAAATGGCAGTCTCATTTTGCAGATGAGAAAAGCGGAGATGCTAGAGTTTAAGGTGACTTTCCTAAGGCCAGTAAGTGGTCTTCTGACTTTGAATATACCTTCCTCCCACTCTGTTAAATGTTCTTTGGGTGGATGCTGTATTCCGTTTTTTTTAATACTGCTCCTCCTACCACTTGGTCTGTGTACACTCTTAGGTCCATTTGCTCATTCAACAATGACTGAAGAATCTCAGAATATATCGTATTTAACTATTATTTAGTTTGTCTTATGTGCAGGATGCTTGGTACTGATTCTTGATAAGTTGACATAAACATTGATCCTACTATTAATGGATCCTGCTATCAATAGAGCTTATAATCTAACGAAAAATTATATACGTGCATAAAGAGCTATAATATAATACAATGTAGACTGCCACGAAAGAGGTACTGATGATGGAAGTAAGGGAATATGAGAAGTGATAAGGACAAACAAGGTTTGCAGGAAGAGGGACTTGTGATTTGGGTCTTGAAGCGTGGGGGATTTGGATTTTGAAAAAGTATTCTAAGTGGTTGTAGAAAAAATCCTGAGATGAGGTGCAATAGGGGACGCAGTGAGTAGGTTAATTTCACTGGCGCGTAAGGGAGAGAGTGGAGTCAGAAGGGAGATGCCAGATGTTGCAAGAGATTGACTTACCGTTCCTCCTTCAACCGAGATCAAATATACTGTGATACTCTGCTATTTGAATATCTTGGAATTTCTAATGAGGCAGATTGCTCATCATTTCTTTTTGTTTTTGATAGTTGGATCTTTGATTCGATTACCAAGAGGTTTTCGCTTGACCCAAGATAAGGTGAAAATAGTGGGATCATCAAATTTTCCAGGTATTAATAAATAGATGTTCAGTACTTTTAAGAAAGTATTTAGCATTTGTTTAAATTTTATGAATCTTGTCCAAAAGGCTAATGTTCCCCAGACATCCTAGTCTCCTAAGGCCCTTTTCCTTCTGTGGAAATGGATTAGAGTTATTTCCATATGGTTTGATTCATCCAGCTCTGATTCTGTTTGCTATAACTGCCTAAGTGTGTGAAAATAATTATTTCTAGAAGCTCTCTAATTAAAGTTGTCTATAGTGTTTCTGCTTGTTATTATATAATTATTAGCCATAATACTAAACATATGCAGTTCAAATATGCTAAAATTTTTTTCAGATGAGCTCTATATTAAAAGGGTTTTGGATTCATAAGCTTTTGCAGTACTCATATGAGAGGCATAGCAACTAAAACTTTTTTGGTGGTGTGGTGTTTTGTTGTTTCCTGGGGTAAATTTGCATGCTTAAAATTCCTCCTTTGAAGTGAACATTCCAGTAGTTTTTAGTACACTGACAAGGTTTTGCAATATCACTGTGTAATACCACAGCATTTTGATAGCTCCAAAAAGAAACATCGTACCCAGTAAGCAGTCACTCTCCAGCCCCTGGAAACCACTAATATACTTTCTCTCCCTATTAATTTCCCTGTTCTGGATATTTTATGTAAGTGGAATCCTACATGATGTGGTGCTTTGCATTTGGCTTCTTTCACTTAGTATAGTGTTTTTGGGTTTATTCATGGCATAGAGTGTATGGGCACATAATTCCATTTTATGGCTGAGTAATAATCCATTGTATGGATATACCATTTTTTGTGTATCCATCAATTGATGGATTTGAGGGCAGTTTACACTTTTTGGCTATATGAACAATGCTGTTACCAGCATTCCTGAAGAAGTTTGTGTGTGAATCTGTTTTCAGTTCTCCTGAATATATACCTTAGAACATAGGGTAACTCTGTGTTTAACATTTTGAGGAACTGCCAAACTATTTCTTCAAGAGCCTTTATTATTTTACTTTTATATCAGCAACGTATGAGGATTAAAATTTTACAGCATCCTTGCCAACATTTGTTACTGTTTATCTTTTTTGATTATAGCCATCCTAGTGTGTGTGAAGTGGATTTTCAAGTGGTTTTGATTTGCATTTCCCTAATGTCTAATGATGTTTTTAAGATCTTTTTATGTGTTTAATGGACGTTTGGGTATCTTCTGTGCAGAAATGTCTGTTCAAGTCCTTTACCCATTTTTTAATTGAGGGTTTTATTATTATTGGAAGTTATTTATTTATTTATTTTTTTTAAAGATTTTTTTTATTTATTTATTTGACAGAGAGAGATAGCGAGAGGAGGAACACAAGCAGGGGCAGAGGGAGAGGGAGAAGCAGGCTTCCCGCGGAGCAGGGAGCCTGATGTGGGGCTCGATCCCAGGACCCTGGGATCATGACCTGAGCCGAAGGCAGACGCTTAACGACTGAGCCACCCAGGCGCCCTATTGGAAGTTATTTTTAATACATTCTGGATACCAAATCCTTATTAGATACTTGATTTACAAATATTTTCTCCAATTCTGTGGATTGTGTTTTCACTTGAAAAAAAATTTTTTTTAAATTTTTAAATTTTAGTTCTAGCATAGTTAACATGAAGTGTTATATTAGTCTCAGGTGTACGATATAGTGATTCAACAATTCTGTACATTCCCTAGTGCTCATCACACACGGTAAGTGTGCTCTAATCCCCTTCATCTATTTCTCCCATCCCTCCACCCACCTCCCCTCTGGTAACCATCTGTTTGTTCTCTATAGTCAAGAGTCTGTTTCTTGTTTTGTCTCCCTTATTTTTTTTCCTTTGTTCATTTGTAAACAGCCCAAATGTCCATCTTTGATGAAAGGATTAAGAAGATGTGGTGTATATATACAATGGGATATTACTCAGCCATAAAAAAAAGACTGAAGTCTTGCCATCTGCAACGACACGGATGGAGCTAGAGGGTATTATGCTAAGTGAAATAGGTCAGAGAATGACAAACACCGTATGATTTCACTTTGCGAAATTTAAGAAACCAAACAAATGAATAAATGTGTTTTCACTTTTTTGATAGTGTCCTTTAAAGCACACATTTTAAACTGATAAAGTCTAATTTCTATTTTGTTCTTTGGTACTGGTGTGTTAGGTGCTGTATCTCAGAAACAACTGCTTATTCAGCAGTCATAAAGTTTTACTCCTGTATTTTTTCTAAGAATTTCATAGTTTTAACTCTTATGTTTAGGTCTTTGATCCATTTTGGATTAATTTACAAGATCAAGGTCAAACCTCATTCTTTTGCATGTGAATATTCAGTTGTTCCAGCATCATTTGTTCAAGATACTGTCTTTCCCTATTGAATTTTCTTGGTACCCTGTCGAGAAGCAGTTTGCGGTAGATGTTTGGGCTTTTTTTTGGACTCTAAATTCTATTTCATTGATCTCTGTCTCTGTCCTTATGCTAGTACCACGCTGTCTTGATTTCTGTTGCTTTAAAGTAAGTTTAGAAATCATTAAGTATGTGTCCTTCATATTCAGTCTTTCTCAAGATTGTTTTGGCTCTACGCTGGGTCACTTGCAACTCCATATTAATGCTAGAATCAGGTTGTCCATTTCTGCAGAAAAGCCCATTGGGATTTTAGTAGGGATTGCCTTGAACTGTAGATCAATTTTGGGAGTGCTACCAACTTAACCATATTAACTTTTCCAATTCATGAACTTGGAGTATCTTTCCATGTACTTAGATCTTCTTTAACTCCCCTCAGTGATGTTTTATAGCTTTCATTGCACAAGTCTTGCACCACTTTTGTTAAATTTATTCCTAAATATTTTGTTCTTTTTGATGCTGTTGTAAATGGAACGGTTTTATTTAGGTTTTGGATTGTTCATTGCTATTATATAAAAATACAATTGAATTTTTCAAATTGTTGTTGTATTCTGTCACCTTCCTAAATCATTTATTAGCTCTATTTTTTTTTTAGTTGGTAGGGGAGTTATTTCTTAGGATTTTCTAGGTATAAGATCATGTCATCTGCAAATAGAGATAGTTCTATTTTTCCCTTTCCAATCTGGATGCCTTTTGTTTTTTTTTCCTTGCCAGTTGCTCTAGCTAGAACCTTCAGTTCAGTACTGATGGTAACAGTATCATCACACATGGTAAAAGTCTTATTTCTGATCTCAGAGGGGAGGAAAGGTTTCAGTCTTTCGCTATTAAATGTGACCTACCTGTGAGGTGTTTTTTTCTTTTCATGATTGTTTTATTTTTATTTCCACAGCACAATGGAGATAATTGTTTTTTTGTATTATTATATTATGTTAATCACCATACATTACATCATTAGTTTTTGAGTTTTTGTAGATGAATTTTATCAGATTGAGAAAGTCCCTTCTGTTCCTAGTTTGTTGAGTGCTTTTATTGTGAAAAAGTGTTGGATTTTGTCAAATCCTTTTTCTGCATACATTGAGATGATTGTGTGTTTTCTGTCCTTTGTTCTATTGATATAATTTGGTATTATATTGATTGATTTTTGTATTTTCAACAAGTCATGCAATCCTGGTTGATTATGATGCATAATTCTTTTTCATGCTGCAGGATTGGCTGTTACTATTCTGAGGATTTTTAGGGCTGTATTCATAAGGGAAATTGTTCTGTAGTTTTCTTGTGTTGTCTTTGTCTGATTTTGGTTTTAGGGTAATAGTGGCTTCATAGAACAAGTTGGGACATGTTCCCTCCTCTTCTGTTTTTTTTTTTTTAGGAGTTTGTGAAGTGTTGTTAATTCGACTTCTACTTGTTTAGTGAAATTCACCAGTGAATTCACCTGGTGCTGGGCTTTTCTTTGTAGGAAGATTTTTAATTATTAATTCAGTCACTTTACTTGCTTCAGGTCTATTCAGACTTTGTTTTTCATTATGGTTTCTGATGAGAAATAAGCTACTAATTTGAGGATCATGTGTATGTAACAAGTTGCTTCTCTTGCTGCTTTCAAGAGTCTGTCTTTTTGGACTTAACAGATGATTATGATGTGTCTAGGTGTGATTCTCTTTTGAATCTATCCTAGTTTGAGTTCATTGAGCTTATTTGATGTGTAGATTGATGCTTTTCATCAGTTTGGGAAGTTTTATCATTATTTCTTCAAATATTCTTTGTGTTCTTATACTTTCCACCCTTCTGTGGAACTTGTATTATGTATACAGTGGCGTGCTTGATGGTTTCCCACAAGTCTCTGGGTACTGTTCATTTATTTTTCTTTTTTCCTCTTTCTTAGACTGGATAATCCCAAACTGATCTATCTTGAGGTTTGCTGATTCTTTTTTCTGCCTGCTCAGGTCTGCTTTTGATTCTTATAGTGAGTTTTTCAATTCAGTTATTGTACTTTTTAATGCAGAATTTCTTTTGGGTTCTTTTTTTTAACTTCTATCTCTTTATTGATGCTCTTTGTTTGGAGAGAAATCATTTTCATACTTTTTTTTTAGTACTTTAGACATAATGTTCTTAATCGTATTTAAAATAACTGATTTAGTTTTCTTTTTCAACATTCTTCTCGCTATTTGGGGTCTTTTCTGGTTCCATACAAATTTTAGGATTATTTGTTCCAGCTCTGTGAAAAATGTCGATGGTATCTATAAAGAACTTATTAAACTCAACACCCAAAAAACAAATAATCCAGTCAAGAGATGGGCAGAAGATATGAACAGACATTTCTCCAAAGACATACAAATGGCCACCAGACACATGAAAAAATGCTCCACATCACTTGGCATCAGGGAAATTCAAATCAAAACCGCAATGATATACCACCTTACACTAGTCAGAATGGCTAAAATTAACAAGACAAGACACAACAAACGTTGACGAGGACGCAGAGAAAGGAGAACCCTCCTACACTGTTGGTGGGAATGCAAACTGGTGCAGCCACACTGGAAAACAGTATGGAGGTTCCTCAAGATGTTAAAAATAGAGCTACCTTGCGACCCAGCAATTGCACTACTGGG